GTTGGCAAAAGGAAAACCTGGTTTTATTCTGTGATATTTGGTGCCAGCTGTACTGTGATAGTGAGAAGTGACTGTGATAGTGGGGAGTGATCACTGGTGTAAATGAACGCCAGTGATTTACCCATTTACAGTGAAATTGTCACCATGGTGGCATGGTGTCAGTAGTTGACACAATTTTGGGGTTACTGTCCCCTCTAGATTTGGCAATGCTGTCAGAGGCTGTCCTGCCAATAATGTGTTGCTGACTTTTTGTGTGATTTTACACAAGGTGCACTGTTATACATATGAACAGGGTGTCACTTTCCCGTGATTAGGATCAAAGGTGGTTGCAAGTCAAACCAGAATTTCCTACACTGTGCCATGTCAAGTTTGCCTCCTTTTGCATCTATTCTGAGACAGCCTTTAATTAACATGACCTGGTGTCATTCTTCCTGTAGGGTCTTCCTGTGTCTTGCAGTGTCTTTCCACAGGACAGCCTGTGTTGTGGAAATGGAAGAAGGGATATTTATGGAAGAAGCTGACATCTGTAAGAGCCTTAGGTCAGATGGAACCTTGCATGAAAAGAGGCAAAATTTATTGGAAAGGAAACCAGGTAATAAAATAGCTGATCTGCCTCTTCCCTCCTCAATCAGAGGGCTGATGAAATATGAGGTAGCTTTGCCTGTCAGCAGCTTGAATGTGCAGTCACAGATTAGCCTTTTACACAGGTCTGGTTTTGGAGAGGAGCTGAAGCCTAAGCAGGTAATTGCAAAGAGTTGGAGGCTGTTGGAGCCATCCAGAAGAGATATCTGTTTGCATTGCTGCTCTTACTGTGCTGACAGTGCTAGTCTTGCTTATTCATAGCTATACACTGCTTCCAAAAATACACTTGAAACTTATCCTGCAGCAGAAGCACTGCAGCAGGAGCATTCTGCTTACAGTAAAGACTTTGATGTAAATATTATTTATCCCTGTCCTTGACCAGCTTGAAGAGAGGACCTGCCTATCACTACAGATGCATGTGAATGTGTGAGGTTTGTGTCCTTCTGCTGCAGCAATGGCTCCAGCACTGACACTCAGCTGCTGCATGGCAGAAGCTGGGGCCAGTGTGCTTAGAGAGCACCCCAGCCTAACTTCTGAGCTGCCTGTTTGGACCTCTGGCATGTGCAGACAGGAGTGTCAGAGTTCAGCTCCTGAGGAAACATATTTATAGTCACAGTGCTGCTAACAGATCATGCAAGGAGTCTAAAACCCACCTCTGTCACTCCCATTCACTTCTCCAGCACTTCCATTTGACCTGTGATAACTAGTTTTGCCTTGTGTCAGTGGCACCAACAATCAACACTCAGCCAAAACTCTGTAAAGAAAAGCACAAGATTTGGAGCAACAACCTCTTGCTTGCAGAGCTGATGCTGCAGCTGGATATGTGCAGGGAGGGGAGGTCAGGGGGGAGCACTGATGTTTTTGCCTGGCTGCAATGTGAGTGCCAGAGCCACCAGTTGAATTGGGCACAGTAACCATAGCAACAGCGAGTTTCCGGGACTTGGGGTGACAGGTTGACGGGATTACTCTTCAAAGCACTTGCTCTCTTGGGAGAGAAAACCTAAAGGAAGGGGATGGGAGTTAATTTAGCACACACACACTGGAGCAAGGGTCAGCAGTGGCAGGTCTCTGCTGGAGGGAAGCCTGCAGCAGCAATAAACAACACCATTTCAAGCACTTTGAGTAGCACTGAAATCACTACAGGGGGGCATCCAACAAAGAAAAATGTGGGGTGCACACAAAAACTAGCACTACTCCCTTCCAAAGGACAGTTGCCACAAAAGTTCCTGCATATCTCAAACCTGAGTCTCTGCTCTGGTGTGAGGGCTGTACCCTGTCCTGCCATTCCTGCTTCCAGCACTGGGGGCCAGATGTGGCTGCAGACCCTGGATCTGGAAATGCTGAGTTGTGCCAGACCTGGAAGCAATGGGGAAACTGAGGCAGGGGGGAGTGGCAAGAGGGGGCATGTCAAGTGTGATGGTGTGTGTGATAGGAAGGGATGTGAGATGAAATATTTGGGTGGTGGGGCTGAGGCACGGCATGGCTGCAGTAGGACGTGGGCATGTAGGAGGTAAGAGGGCACTGCAATGTGAAACAGGGAAAAGGGAGGCACAGTGTCAGTGTAGGGGACAAGAGAGAAGGCTGTCATCTCCTAAGGTTCATAGCCTCATTGGTGCAAAGCTATCAGTGGGGCCTGAAATTCAGTTCTATTTATTATGCCCTGTTTTAATTTCCTTGGGGTTTGGTGAGCAATGGGCTGCTCTCCTGTCTGCCCTTCTGGTGAGAGAGATATATGACAGCACTGTCTTGGTGTGTTGGTAATTTTGAGCTAATAAAATTTCCCTTTGGGCCATGGTTAACAATTAGACCAATGCTATGGATCCATGCCCAGCACCAGAAAAACACAAGAGCAATTTAAAGCTGGTTTTGCTGTCTGCTCCTCCTAGTGCTGGATGGCGAGATTGAAACCACACACAGGCAAACATTTCCTATCTTCCCACAGCTGCTGATAGCCAGCCACAATTGCTCACACTATGTGGAGGCACAGCTACACTCTACCTGCCCGCTCTTGCAAATCATTTGCAGAAGTCAGTATCTACACAAGCTCAGAAAGCTTCTCTGGAGGCTGCCTGGCCCCAGTGGTTCACAGAGCTAAAGATGGGGGCAGCTCCAGGATCCAGCTGCTGGGAACCTGGGTGGCCACACCTCTACTCCCAAGCAATTGATGCTTAATCCCAAGGAACTTCTTCTACCATGTTTCTTTTCTCCACAGTAGAAGATCTATATGTGCCTGGATGGGAGAACTCAGATGTGTAGTCTGCAGGCCAGAAAGGCATAAATGTCACTGTACCTTTCACTGACCTGTAAAAGCAAGTGGTGCAGGCAGACAAGTTTCACAACAAAAATATAGAGGCTGGGAAGGTGGATGTAATAGAAGTGCTGACACAAACTTAATTATTAAAGCACTGCAGAAAGGATATCTTTGTCAAAAAAATAATGTGGGAATAAAAGATTTCTGTCATCTTCTGTTAGCTGCTTACAGGTGGCTACAGGACTGTTTCTATCTTCTTAACTGCAGGTCTTTTGCTACTTTTAGCTTGGTCCCTGCTTCCATTTCTCTCCTACTTGTGAAGCTTTGCAAAAATGTGGGCACCTCCATGAAATCTGAGGCAACCCTGTGCTGGTAACTAAACCAATGGGAGGCTGAAGGTAATTATCCCAGGGCCTTAGAATGGGAAAATCTGGGTTCATCAACTCTTTGCTCTCACATGATGCTCATCTTGGTTATCCTCCAGTCCATCCGATTGTGAAACGTGGAAGAATCAGCTTAGAAGGGAGCCTGAGTTGAAAGGCTCCATGTAAATGAAAATTTAATTATTATGAAACCACCTCAAAGAGTGCACCCTCATTTCACCTGTCCTATTTTGCCTGTACCTCAGCCTGAGAAAGCTGGCAGAATGAAGAGGACTTGCTGGGGGAATCCAGCATTCAGGCTGAGGGCCCTGCTGAGTGCAAGGCAGCGTGTACTCACAGCAAGCGTGCCAGCCAGACCTCCACACATCCTGTATCCAGTGCTGACCTTTCCTGTCATTCCTCCCTCCTTCCCAGCAAAGGCCATGTGCTTTCAGCTTCTTAAAAGCTGTTCCTGCTTCTGCCCATTGCCACAATACGTGATGGGGGGAGTAAACAAGAAAAGGATGTGCCTGGCAGATTTGCAGTTTGGAAAGGTACAGGAAAGAGGGATGCCTTGATTTCCCTTGCATTGCCAACAAACTGAAAAACCCCAAGGGTTTTTTTTTGTTTGTTTTGTTTTGTTTTGTTTTTTGAAAGAGGGCAGGCTACCCTTGCCAAGGCTTTCCCTTTTTCTTTTAGCCTGGAAAAGAGGATCAGGATGACCTTATCACTCTCTAGAACTCCCTGAAAGGAACTTGTAGCCAGGTGGGGATCACCATCTCCTCCCAGGCAATCAAAATGACAGGATAGTAGGACATAGTCTTAAGCTGTACTAGGTAAAGTTCAGGTCGGACATGGGGAGGTATTTCTTCACAGCAAACATGGTACCTGGAATGGGCTGCCAGGGAGGTGGTGGAGTCACCATACCTGGAGGTGTTTAGGAAAAGAGTGGATATGGCACTTAGTGTGGCACTAGCCATTGTCTGGTCTGTCAGGTCTCTTCTAACCTCATTTATTCTGTGATTGTACTCACTTAGCTCTCCCAGGCCCTTAGGGAAGCCCTAGAAGCTTCATCAGCCTCTGCAGGGTGCAGTGATTCTGCTGGGTTCGGGCTGCTGGGGGACCACAGCAGGAGGGACTGGCAGAAGGACTGGCAGGAGCCCGAGGGTGCTGCCCTGTCCTGTCCATCCGCACAGCACCCACAGCAACCACACTGGCTCCCCAGCTGGGGACGTGCCCATTCCATCCGTCCATCCATCCATCCCTCCATCCATCCATCCATCCATCCATCCATCCATCCATCCATCCATCCATCCATCCATCCATCCATCCATCCATCCATCCATCCCCCCCCCCCCCCGCCGCGCCCCCCGCCGCGTTCCCACGGCCGCACCTCCCCCGCGGCGGGGGCGTGGCCCCGGCAGCGGCCGGCGGCGATTGGCTGGGGCGGCGGCGGCGGCGGCCAATGGGGGCGGGCGGGGCCCGCGCGTGGCGGTGCTGTGCGGCGGGCGGCGGCGGGCGTGCTCTGCCGGGCTGCGTCCGTGCCCGCCGCCTCCGCATCCCTCCCTCCCTCCATCCCTCCCTCCCTCCCTCCATCCATCCGTCCATCCATCTGTCCATCCATCCCTGCTTCCCTCCGTCCCTCCCTGCCTCTGCCCGCTGTCTCCTGCCCGCCCGCCAGGCGTGGGAACTCCATGGGAGAGACGGGCGCCGGGCGAGGCGCGGGACGCGCTCTGGGCGCGCTCCTCCCGCGCCCCGCCGCCCGCCGCCTCCCCGAGGGCCGCCCGCGCCCCGCCGCCCCCGGCCCCGCCGTCGGTGCCATGAAGCGGGCGCACCCCGAGTACAGTTCGTCGGACAGCGAGGAGCTGGATGAGGCCGTCGAGGTGGAGAAGGAGAGCGCAGACGAGAATGGGTGAGCTCCGGCGGGCTGCGCCGCGCCCCCCACCTCCCCTTCGCCCCGCGGAGCCCCGGCACCCCCGAACCCCCGCGGTGACCGTGTCCCGCTGCTTCCCGCAGGAACCTCAGCTCGGCCGCGGGCTCCATGTCTCCCTCCACCACCTCGCAGATCCTGGCCAGGAAGAGGCGCCGAGGGGTGAGTGCCCGCCGGCCGGCCGCGGCTCCCCGCAGCCCGGCACGGCCCCGCTGACCCCCGCTCTCTGCCCTAGATCATCGAGAAGCGCCGCCGCGACCGCATCAACAACAGCCTGTCCGAGCTGAGGAGGCTGGTGCCCAGCGCCTTTGAGAAGCAGGTAGCGCCCAGAGACCCTCCGCGGTGCCCCCCATCCCTGCCCGGGAGGGAGCGTCACCCCTCGGAAATGTCTTTGGTGCTGCCTGAAACGTTTCGTGTCTTCCCTTCTCTCCTAGGGATCAGCCAAGCTGGAAAAAGCAGAGATTCTGCAGATGACTGTCGATCACCTGAAAATGCTGCATACAGCAGGGGGGAAAGGTAAAGTTTTGTGCGTGACAGAGTCAGCAGCCTGCAGGGAGGCTGCTGGGAGAGCAGCCTCCCGAGCATTGGCAATGCCTGCAGAAAGTGAACGGCAGCTCTCTTACGTTTCATCAGGAATGAGGGACTTTCTCTGCTTCACAAGATTTGTGGCATCACTAGCACTGAAAGGTTTTGCAGTGGTAGCTCTGAGGGGAGAGTTGTTCTAGAGGAGAGTGACTATGTCTCTCTAGCAGTGTGTCAGCACTGAGAAGTGAATCAGCTTTTGGCAGCTTGGAAAGCAGTTATTATTGGTGTCTAATGCTTGTTTCTCTAATTTTCTGAAAGTTCAGAACAAAACTAGGAAAAAATGCAGGATGAAATAAGTGGTGAAAAGATTTAGCAGAAATGCTGAAAGGTTTTTAAGAAAAAAGTACTTTGCCTGCTCAAGTCTCCCCTGATAAGTTAGGACTTGTGTTTCTAATGAATTTCATTGTGCTGTGGTTTAACTTGCACAAGGGAGACAAACGGAAGGAACAAAAATACTTTCCTCCAGTGTCAGTGGGCAATTCCAGTTTAAAAATGGCAGTTTGTGCCTGGTCTTGGGACTTGCAGCATCACAGCACAGATATAAAAGAAAAGCTTGTTAAACAAAAAAAGGGAGAAAAAAAAAAGGAGCTTGGCAGCTAGTCTATGGTTGGGAACACTAACCACATCCAAGTGAAATATGCTTATAGGGGAGGGTGGAGTGGGGAGGCTACTTGTAGACACTGACTAGAAAACAACATCTTAAGACTTCATTCTCTGTTCTTTTCTCTTAGGTTATTTTGATGCTCACGCTTTGGCTATGGACTACCGGAGTCTCGGGTTTCGAGAGTGCCTGGCTGAGGTTGCTCGATACCTGAGTATCATAGAGGGTCTGGATGCCTCGGACCCCCTGCGGGTGCGACTCGTGTCTCATCTCAACAACTACGCCTCTCAGCGGGAGGCGGCGAGCAGTGCACACGCTGGCATTGGACACATTCCTTGGGGCAGCGCCTTTGGACATCACCCTCACATACCTCACCCGTTGCTGCTGGCTCAAAATGGGCATGGTAACAGCAGTACTACAGCATCTCCCACAGAACCACATCACCAGACCAGAATTGCTGCCCCTCATGCTGAAACTCCCTCACTCAGAGTGCCCCCAAATGGCAGCGTCGGACCAGTGCTCCCCGTGGTCACATCTACCACCAAACTGTCTCCTCCTCTTCTCTCCTCCATGGCATCTTTGTCTGCGTTCCCCTTCTCCTTTGGCTCCTTTCATCTGCTGTCCCCCAACGTGCTGAGCCCATCGACACCAACGCAGTCAGCAGCGCTCAGCAAACCCTACAGACCCTGGGGGACTGAGATTGGCGCCTTCTGAGAACTGACTCTTGAGCAAGGGTGGGAAAGCCTATAAACCTAGCTGAGCTGGGTTATGCCACCCTTGCAGTTGAAGTTCTTAGTAACTGGGACAAAGGTACAGCTTCACCTTAACTGAGTTTGTCTAAAAACTTTCTCATTGGATTTTTCTTTTTGTTTTCTACATTTTTGTATTAACAGGTTGTTTGGTTTTTTTTTTTTTTTTTTTTGATAGTTGCTGAAGTTGTCCAAAAATAAAATTACAATAGTGGTTTGTTAACACTTGTGTTAGATCTCTACTGAGCATTTAAGTCACTTTTGTAAACAGTTTGTTTCAAATGTTTCATTTTTCCTGAGTACATCAGACTGGCTTTTTATGAGGAGAGACCACCTATTATTGTTAGCGATGACTTAGTTTTGTTACTAATTTTTCCAAGACCATTCTTCTCAGAATTTACAAGCTGTGTTTTTGTTAGTATTTTGACACTGAGATGTTCTATAAAGAATTACTCTTTTTGTAAACTATATTCGAGTCGTATATTTCTGAGCAAAGCGTTGACAAATCAGATGGACCTGCTTGACCAGCTTTATCTAAGAGCCCAATTCCTCTTTCTTCTGAAGCCATTTGGTATATTTGGCAATCTTACTCTAGTTCCTAGTAGATATTTACTCACTTCTTAGAACCACTACACTATTTCTTCCATCAAAAGGAGCAGTATGAGTGGGGAGGGTTCAAAAGCCAAATTGCATGCTGTATTGGTGGTGGGTTTAGTTGTTGGGGAAGTTTTGGGAATTAAAGTTGTCACCTGCAGTAATCTCCCAGCCAGAGCTGGTCACATGCATCTTCATTCCATAGGGCCAGATCCTGCTTTGAGTTACAGTGGAGTAATTGTTCTGCTAGCCTGAATTCTTGGGTATCTGAGGTCAGACTCTTCTCTGTCAGCTGAAAATTTTCAGCTGAAACAGTTGATGCTGGTATTTAAATAGCCAGTGGAATGGTACAGTGGGAACCTGTTCAGTGCACAGCCTTGTTGTTTAACAGATGCATTCTCAGTAGGTGATGTTTCCATTGCATTTTAGGTGCAGTTCAGTGCCACTCCTCATTTTTTAAGGGTTCTGCTGTGTTCTTGTGTGCCTGAGAGTGTGTGCATGTACATATATTTTGCTTGATTTCATGAGAATCTTGATCTGAACAGGCTTATTGAGTGAGTTCCACTGGAAGGGGTTTGCCTGCTCTTGTATCTGTGTTGTGGCTAAATAAAGGAGAAAGAACAAAGTATTTTAAATGACATACTTGTCTGATACATATCAGTGGAGAATTCTATGCCTGTGGGTGTCACAGGAGATATTGAACGATATCTGCTACTTAGTCCTGTTGTGGCCATTTGTATTTGCTCTTTTCTCAGATATTACAGCATGTGTAGCTTTACTAGCTGAGTACATGAAAAACCACAGTGCCTTGGAGTAACAGTCAAGGGAAGGAAAATGTAGGATTTCTTTTGCACATTGGTTTTATGTGCCTGGCAGTGCGTGGGCAGGTAGTGAAGATAGCAGGGTTTCTGCTAAAGAAGAGGTTAAAGCTGCACTGCGCTTGAATATTCTTAGTGACTTGTATTAACATTAAAAAGTGATCATCTTTACAAATACGAAGTCCTTTTCTGTGTAACTCACGAACTTGTTATCTGTCCTGTAGCTCTGGAATGAAGTTTTGTACGTTAGAGTGAGGTTCAGACCACATTCAGTTCATTAGTGCAGAATCTACCCCAGGTCTCTGACTGATCCTGTATTTGTTTCTGAGTGGTACCACCAGTGTCTAACACCCTTGCTTGAAGCAAAAACCTGGCAGGTTTACAGGCAGATAGGTTTTCTCCTGTGCAGTCCGTCCTACCTGCAGAACTTCTGGAAGTACTTTACTTCTTTCCTGCACATTTGAATTTATAGTGCACTTGTTTTGGTAAATGGCACATCCTTGTCTGGATTTAGCTGTGCCAGAATAGCAGAAAGAACTCGGCCCTGTGGGAGACGAGAGCTTTGTTTAAAGAGGGGCTCTCAGGCCAATTAAGGAGTGGCATTGATGAGAGACTTTCTCGGAAGAAGGGTTGCTGTGAGGCTGGAAAGAGCGGGAGAGCATTCAAGTGCATAACCTTGTTTTACCTTCCTTCTGGGGCTGTAAGAGACCACTGCTAGAAATGAAATGCAAAACACTGTGGAAGCTAGAAATACATAGGTGTTATTAAGGAGAGCTTATAGAGCATAGTATTTCATGTAGAAACCTGAAATAAGAGGCTGTAAAATTCCAAATCCAGTTTCCTTTCACAGTGTGTATTGTCTCCTGTTTAATTATGCTCTGCCCTGTCCCTAACAGGTTTTTATAGCAAATTAACAACTCCTACCTAGAAGATTGCTATAGTGCACGCAACTATTCTTTAGATCTTTTAATAAATGGCAATGCTTCTCAGCCTTTTAATGGTTATTTCATTGACATTCAAATGACTTTGCCTCCCTCTAAATAGCTGGCTCTTTTGTGTAGAAAGACCCCTATAATTATTTTTGTCCCACTGTCCTACCCTTGAATGGACTTCAGAAGCAGACTGCAATAAAAGTTTTGCTGCTGGTGTTTGTCTCTATATCCACTGTCTTCTCTTTCTATTACCAATGACAAAGGTATTAATGAAAAGTACTAATTCAACTTTTGCAGTAATTCTGTATTCATTTTTAGGGATTCAAAAATCTACTGATTGTTATCATAGAAAGAAATGAATGAAGTCTAGCAACTCACAAAAACTAGTAATTCAAATGGGAAATGCATGGCCCAGAAGCTGCAACACCGGGATTGTAAGTCCAGGGCTACTGCAAACTTTGTTAATCTCTCTTAGAAATCACTTCATATACATCTGTTTTGCCAGCAGTGAAACAGGTATGGCAGTGTTTGGTCTCCTTTCCTTAAGAGGCAGTTACAGTTGGAAATTTTCTCTATGAATGATAAATGCTGTTATTTCTTAAAACCTACAATTCTGAGACATTCTGCTATTTTTTCTTTCCTACAGGATGGTAGGTTTCTAAAGAGAAACTGAGAAAGGCAAAATGAGCTTGGTTCTTTAGGCCATAGATATCTCCAGAGTCCAAAAAGTTTACTTGTTTACCCTATTGCAAAAGAGCAATTCAGGAACACAAGCTTAACCAGAGGGATGCTGGAAAAGAAAGGAAATGCATATGTGCCTTGATCCTATGACCCCCCAACGATCTTCAATTGCTTTGGATGAAATGTGTCCATCTGGAAATCCTCAGGCTAAAGCTTTGTGTAGGATGTAAGATGATGTGGTACTTCATATAAGCTAATACTATCCTCCTTTATTAAGGAAGCCGGTGTGGAGTGCAGAATAAATTTAAAAGGCTGGTAAATGCTGCACAAAACCAGATACAAACCTCTGGAAATCCATTCTGTGCTTTGGCGTAAAGGAATAGCTGATGAAAGTGACATTTTTTAGCTTTTGGAAAGAAGCTGTCAGTAGTTCTTAAGACACTTTCTGTTCAGCGCTCCTGTCTTAACACTAGTAGCATGACAGAGTTTATTAGGATCCTGCTGAAAACCCCATGAATCCTGCCTATTGCTCTCTTCACTCACACATCAGCATGTGAGTCCCCAGGTGACAGGAGCCTTCCTAGACTATTGCATAGTGGTGGGAAGTCTGCCAGGCTTTTTTTTTTTTTCCTCCCAAGCAACAAATAAGCCCAAGTGAACACAGATAAACTGAAATCCTTCTTCCTGTTTTATATTGTGTGCATACTCACAAATGTTTATTGCCAGAAACTCCCAGTTTGGATTGCAACATGCTCTACATGGTGCTGGGATTCTCTAGTGAATAATGTAGAGGCCACGGGCTTTGTGCTGGAAGGCAGCAAAAATTATATACAAAGCCCTTTTCTGAGGCCTTACATGAAAGGATGCAGAGATGGATTGTGGTGTTTGTGACTCAGTACACTAAGGCACGAATATGTTCATGTGTTAACCAGCCTACCTGACCTTGCAGGGTCTGTGTGTGCTTTGCCTGTAACCAAATTACTCTCTCTCCTCTTGCCCAGCTTATAAATAAAAATTAGAACAGTCCCTTTCTTCTGGAGCCAGGAGATGTGGGCATTGACTCATGCTTGCAATATAGTAGCGTGTCTGCAGTCATAAATGTTGAAATGCCAGTGCCTTGGAAGATACAGATCCTCGAAGCTGTCTTTTGGGAGTCTGAAATGTTCATTTGGTGAAGGCTTTTATTAAGGAAGTGCTTGGGCATTATATGTTGTTCTCTCTTTTTCCACCTAGTCCTGTGAAATTTTTTGTCTAGCAAACTCTACTGATTATTCATGCAGCTTGAAGGAGTGGACCAAACAAACTGCCTTGCTCTGATCCGTGCAGTGTGCAGTCTGCCCAAGCCTTCCCAGTAATGTTCTTAGATGTAGGTTCCCTTCCAGCTGGTTTTTTTTTTTTTTATCTCAACAAATCATGTAACACAGCTGTATAATGCAGGAGGGGCTTATCTAAGGACAGGTGAGCAGTGGGGGCATTCTGCCCTGCTTTTAGACCCCCTAACCACATTACATTGTTTGGACCTTTTCAGAGTCTTTCACCAGGCTGCTCATTTCAGGTGAAACCTTCTGGCAAGGAAGGAGAGGAATGGCTGGAACCAGTTCTGCACACCTCCTGCTCATTGGGGCAGCTCAGCACAAGGAGGACATTGCAGACCACACTTTTCTCTCTGCACTGAAGAGACTTCTTGGAGCTTTCCAGGTGGCTTCTCCAAGGTAAGCTGTAAAGTCCAGGCACAAACATTAACAACAGGTTAAACAGGTACGTGCATTGCTCTGGTTTGCTCTGCTTTCACAGACAGAAGGATGTTGGGAGTAGGAAAGTTGGTGAAGCAGCTCTGCAAGAGAATGGCAGGAGAAGGAAGGAAGGCTGATCTGTAGGATCAGAGGAAAATTGAAGCTGTGAACAGATGAATGAAGAGATGCATTGTTTGCATTGCCTGTGGCAAAGATACAGAAATACCTGACATCAGATGAAAAAATAAGCTGCATGCCAGTATGTAAAGAGTTTAGAGAAGGGAAGGTAGTACTCAGCATT